TTTTTAATGACAGTGATGACGATAGTTCACAGTTGAGAAAGTTAAAACGATGTGCTCAATTCGAATGGTTTGTAGGCGATTTTATGCTATGGCGTCGAATGATTTGTTCGTTATGGGAATGACGACAAGCTCTACTGCCAGCCGTGCTTTTCACAGATTTAAGCTGATGAAGGCCAGATCGCTCGTTGCTAATAAAATAGGACAACTTTCCGATTTGATCATTCAAAAAGGGCTCAAGTAAGACAAGTGGTGAGAAATTTGCTGGAAAATTTAAAGGGTCACGAATGGGATGATTCAAAGAAATATTTGGTAGTCTCTCTTGCAGTTCTATTTAGCATGAAAAGATCAGCAATTTCTAAGAAAGCCACTGGGAGTCGAGCCTACATCAGTAAAATCTTAAATCAGCACCAGGCAGTAGGTGAAAAGTTGTCTGGATTTGATGAGAGTGCCCTTTGTCAATTACGATTAAATAAAGATAAAGCATTTGCCAAATCAGTATTATCTGTATCATTTTTCAAGGAAGCCATTACATCAGATATTCTGCCTCCTTCTGTTAAATTGGCTTTATTAGCAGCACCATCTTCCCAGAAATTAGATCAGACTACAGATGACACTAAATTATGGAATGATTCTGAAGCAGAACACATATTTATCCATCTAGGGGGCGGTCTATCTGAAGCTGACTATGATGGTTTAGAGAAATCTCTGAGAACACAAGGAAATGTTTCCAAGACACTTTCCAAGATTTCAAGGGAGTGTCCCAAAATTTCAATGTATTTGCCATCAGTGGTGCTATACGTCTGATAAAATATAATGGTAATGAAGTATGGGGAGATCCAAATCCAGTCTGATGCAAGCCGCATTCCATTTGCCATTATAAATGCCCCAGAGAGAGATGCACTGATAGAAGTTGATATTCTTCCTGTTCTGGCATGCACTGAAAAATGTGCCCAACATGGTATAAAGGGGGTGAAATACTGTAGAAAACTGGAAGGAGATGAAAAGTATAAAAGTTTGGTCTTGCAGAGAAAGAGTACCAGTTTTTTCTGCAATTTATGTTTGGCTACAGTTCATAAATGTCACAATCCAAATCATGAATGGGATATGTCTATCACTCTTGCGGATATGAATTCATGGGCAGAAGAAAAAAGTAATGGTCAGAGTAATCATCCTCTTATAAAGTATGACCCCATAAATGAATACACTATGGATCACCTTCATGCTAAATTGAGAAACGTGGGTAAACTAATTGACGAGCTCTTCAACGAGGTTCAAGAGATCGACCAACAACTGGAATTTATACAAAAGTTTGCAAAGTTATCTGAAGATGAAAACATGATGTGAAGCAATATGAATCAAAACTGGTCGACCAATTTGATACCAAGGTTGAAATTAATGAAGCAAATCAATCAGCAAAGTTACTTCAAGTTACTAAAAAGGATGATCTTAATAAACTTGATAAGAAACTTGAAGCAGCTTCACTAGCATTTGAAATTAAATACACTGAAGTGAATTTGTTGGATTCTGCTGAATCATATTTTGAAATTTTATTTGGCACATACAAGGAATACAAATGCACACTATGTGCATCACATCTCCATGTTGTATATAAAATCAAGCCAGGTATCACTTGTCACATGCAAACTGTCCATGGTAAGTTCAGCACAAAAGATCTGAAACAAAACACAAGATGCATTACTAATCTCAATATTTAATATCAAAAATCTGTCATAATAATAAATTATTATTTACACTTGGTAAAACTATTCCAGAGTCAGCCTAAATTGTCAAATTTGTAATGACACTATTTTCTATGAAGTCTTTGACTGTAAAGAATGGGGCATGTGGAGGGGGCCTGGCACATTTTCTTTGAAAATCATTTGTTATTAAACTAATCTCAATATTTAATATAAAAAATCTTTCATAATAATAAATTATTATTATTTACACTTGGTAAAACTATTCTAAAGTCAGCCTAAATTGTCAAATTTGTAATGACACTATTTTCTAGATATTAATTCCTCAACTTCAAACACATCAATGTGTGTCACGATTACTGGAGAAATGGGGCAAGTGGAGGGGGCGTGGCACATTTTTTTTGAAAATCATTTGTTATTAACTATATTTAGTATATTCTCACTTTAATATTACATAATTTATTATGAATAATATGTCAGAAAA